GGCTAGGGGTAAATGTAGCTGACCCATAAGTATTCTGACACGAGGGAAAGCCAGAAAAGGAAATCATTGTATCATTGTAACAATGTTTCATTGTTCATATGAGCTGTGCTTCCTGCTTTGTCATGCAGCACAGTCATTGTGTGTTACAAGCTCAGACTTAAAGGAGAACTATGGGGTTAGGGCTTTCCCCCATAGTTCTCCTAAAGGTAACGGGAGGACACAAACTAGCGTCCTCCCGTCACCCTAAGCTCAGTATACCGCGAGCTACAGCTCGCGGTATACTGAGACGCCGCAGCTGAAACGTATCCCGACAATTATGCCGGGATCCGCCCAGCTGTGTGACTGACAGCGGGCTATGCCTATCTAGAGGCAGAGCCAGCTGTACCTGCCCCCTCCCCCGTCCGATCCTCCAGTCAGCGCTGGAGGATCGGAGCAGGGAGGGGGGAATCCAGTGCCTCCCCTGTCACGGCTCTCTGCAGGGAGATGATCGAGAAGTGAGCGAGCGGCGCTATGTGTTCGCTCACTTCCCGATCTACTGAGCCGACCTGTGACAGTCTCATTGTCACAGGTCGGCTAGAACTATGAGGATGAGTGAAAAGCACTCGCCTCATAGTTCTCCTTTAAATCTAGCATTTTTCTTATAGTTTTGGATAGAGAGGATAATTTTTTTATTGTTTGGGTCCCCGCAGAAGAAGTTTCCCAACACTTCCTGCGCTGGCAGGAAGTGCGTGGAAACCTTTTCTGAAAGGGAACACAAACAGCAATAAATAAGAGGCTCTGACTCGTCTATGAAAGGTTTTATCCGGAGTTCCACTTTCACCCATTTCTGTGGCCTGCCGATTTCCACAGCCCAATACTGGTCCATAACTGTAGGCAACCTCACGCCCAATCAAAAGGTGCAGGAGGGGGCGGAGCCAGACCACGACTTCTGAATCTGAAATCACTATTGGTGCAGTGGAGTATCAGGGCATTGCAAAGAGAAGGGAAACAACCTTGGATTACAGTAAGGTGCACATTACAGTATTATTTTATGTTAAAAATTCTGAGGGTTTAATGTCACTTTAACTGAACAGACTGAAGAGAGAAGCTGATTGGCTGCAAATGTTCCAGTTTTTCCAAACGGATTTACACATGAACATCAGATCGAAAATTAGACGTCTATGGACACTGGTTGAAGCAAGGTATAGTTAAAGCAGGGGGTGGGCAACTCCTGCCCTCCATCTGTTGTGGAACTACAAGCCCCATGAGGCATTGCAAGACTGACAGTTACAGGCATGACTAGCAGAGGCATGCTGGCACTTGTAATTAAAACACAGCTGGGGGGCCGGTGTAGCCCAACTAGGGTCGCCACCTGTCCAGGATTCCCCCGTACAGTTCGGGTTTTGAATGCTGTGTTCGGGTTTCTTGGCAGCAGAAACCCGGACACAAGATGTCAGGCAGACAGGGGGCAACCAAAATTAAGATGGGGGATACTGGCCCCCCACTAAAAATAGTCTCAACTGTGATATTTACATATGAATGGGTGGCGCTATTTACATATGGATAAAAAAAAATCTCCCAAAAAAATGTCCGCGCATCGCTGCAGTGTGTTCGGGTTTCGCTTGAAGAAAAGGTGGCAACCCTATTGTCACCCAATGACAGGACGTTGGCAACCCTAAGCCCAACCCCGAGTTAAAGGCTATCTATGGGCAAATAATAAATCTGTATTTCTATATGGAATTTCCGTAAGTTTTATCCCGCTCCTAATAACCAGATCCATCTAGAAGATTGTAAACTGAAGATGCCCATAGGATGGACTTCCTCAATGCACTGACACAATGTCGCTCAGCCCTGCGAATGTGCACTTCCTGGTTTCGCCAATCTCACAGAGCCTGCCTTCTGAACTACAACTCAATGTCTGAACAATGTAACAACATCATTGCTTGCTGGACGTAATGCACGATGGGACATGTAGTCTTGGGAAATGGAGATTGCATCACATCAAGCAGCAGGGAAAGTGATGCAAAGCACGCTGGTAATCCAGGAAGTTGTTGGAAGTGATGGGCAGACGGAAGGCAGCGCTCACTACATAAAAGGGATTTTTTTTTAGGTAGGCTTTGATTGCATTATCAAAACAACTCTCGTCAAGATGGACTTCCTCAATGCACTGACACAATGTCGCTCAGCCCTGCGAATGTGCACTTCCTGGTTTCGCCAATCTCACAGAGCCTGCCTTCTGAACTACAACTCAATGTCTGAACAATGTAACAACATCATTGCTTGCTGGACGTAATGCACGATGGGACATGTAGTCTTGGGAAATGGAGATTGCATCACATCAAGCAGCAGGGAAAGTGATGCAAAGCACGCTGGTAATCCAGGAAGTTGTTGGAAGTGATGGGCAGACGGAAGGCAGCGCTCACTACATAAAAGGGATTTTTTTTTAGGTAGGCTTTGATTGCATTATCAAAACAACTCTC